ATCTGAAAAAGTTTAGAAAATGTGGGAAAAATGTTGTAGACCTAGAAATCTTGGAAATATTGGAAAAGGTTGAATTTCAAAAATTGTTATTTAAAGGTTTAACTGGAGCCCGATAATTTTAGAAATTTTGGAAAATGGAAATTCTGGTTATTTTGTGTAGTTCGCAAGTCTGAAAAATTGGGCTAATCTGGAAAATTTGAATATCCTGGAAATTTTGAAAATTTTGCAAATTACGAAAATCCCCAAAAATCAATATAAAAATATATATATAATATTTGCCAAAATCACTCTTAACAGGTACTAGCCCCGCCCACCCACCCTCTCTTTTCTTAGATTGTATCTCATTTGCTAAAATCAGTTTTATCTTAGCAGGTCCTATCTCCGCCCACCCACCCCCTCTTTTCTTAGAAGTTATCTCATTTGCCAAAATCACTATTATCTTAGCAGGAACTAGGCCCGCCCACCCACCCTCTCTTTTCTGGGCGGGTATGTCATTTTCCAAAACCGAACTTATTTTAACAAGTATTAACCCCGCCCACCCCCCTCTATTTTCTTAGAGGGATCTCATTTGCCAAAATCTGTTTTATGTTAGCAGGTGCTAGTAGCTGTCAAGATAAGACTGATTTTGGCAAATGAGATCCGTCTAAGAAAATAGTTTCTAGTTCCTGCTAAGATAAGAGTGATTTTGGCAAATGAGATAACTTCTAAGAAAAGAGAGGATGGGTGGGCGGGACTAGTACCTGCTAAGATAAAAGTGATTTTGGCAGATGACATATTCTCTAAGAAAAGAGAGGGTGGGTGGGCGGGGCTAGTACCTCCTAAAATAAGACTGATTTCAGAAAATGAGTTATCCTCTAAGAAATTTAATTAAATTATTGCCAAACAAAAATACCTAGAAGCTCAAGATTGTTTTAAATATGTAATATATAATTTGTAAAAAGCGCATGAACTCTTAACATGACAAAAATTTTAAAGACTCCAAAGACTCTAAACAATACAAAAATCCTAAAAATCTAAAAACTGTAAAAATCTGAAGAATTCTTCCTTTATTTTTATAAATCCTACAAGTATTGCGGGTCTTGAGACTGTAAAGATTCCAGAGATTCCAAAAAATCCAAAGATTTAGACTCTCGAGATCCATAAATTAAAAAAAAAATCTGAAAAAATTTAGAAAATGTGGGAAAAATGTGGTAGACCTAGAAATCTCGGAAATATTGGAAAAGGTTGAATTTCAAAATTGTGGTATAAAGGTTTAACTGGAGCCCAATAATTTTAGACATTTTGGAAAATGGAAATTCTGGTCATTTTGTGTACTTTGGAAAATTTGAAAAATTGGGTTAATCTGGAAAATCTGAATATTCTGGAAATTTTGAAAATTTTGCAAATTACGAAAATCCCAAAAACCAAAAGAAACTAAGAAAATATATATAATATTTGCCAAAATCATTCTTAACAGGTACTAGCCCCACCCACCCACCCTCTCTTTTCTTAGAAGTTATCTCATTTGCTAAAGTCAGTTTTATCTTAGCAGGTCCTAGCCCCGCCCACCCACCCTCTCTCTTCTGAGAAGTTATCTCATTTGCCAAAGTCCCTCTTATCTTAACAGAAACTAGCCCCGCCCACCCACTCTCTCTTTTCTTTGAGGAATCTCATTAACCAAAATCAGTCATATCCTGGCAGGTACTTGCCCCGCTCCCCTAAGAGAAGAGAGGGTGGGTGGGCGGGGTTAGTGGCTGCTAAGAATAGACTGATTTTGGCAAATGAGATAAATTCTAACAGAAGAGAGAGAGGGTGGGCGGGGCTAATTCCTGCTAACATAAGAGTGATTTTGGCAAATGAGACGCTCTAAGAAAAAAAAACAGGGTGGGTGGGCGGGGCTAGTCCCTGCTAAGGTAAGACTGATTTTAGCAAATAACGTATCCACTAAGAAATTTAATTAAATTATTAAAGAAAATGCACTAGAGGCTTCAAAGCACTTTCAAATTATTTCCAAACAAAAATACTTAGAATCTCAAGATTGTTTTAAAGTTTTAAATAATATATAATTTGTAAAAAATGCAAGTATTCTTAACATGACAAATATTTTAAAGACTCCAAAGACTCTAAACAATACAAAAATCCTAAAAATCAATTTTCTTAGAGAATATGTCATTTGCCAAAATTATTCTTAACAGGCAGTAGCCCCACCCACCCACCCTTTCGTTTCTTAGAGGGTCTCTCATTTGCTAAAATCAGTTTTATCTTAACAGGTCCTAGCCCCGCCCACCCACCCTCTGTTTTCTTAGAACTTATCTCATTTGCGAAAATCACTCTTATCTTAGCAGGAACTAGCCCCGTCCACCCACCATCTCTTCTCTTAGAGGGTATCTCATTTGCCAAAATCGGTCTTATTATGACAGCTACTAGTACCTGCTAAGATAAAATTGATTTTGGCAAATGAGATAACTTCTAAGAAAAGGGAGGGTGGGTGGGCGGGGCTAGGACCTGTTAACATAAGACTGATTTTGGCAAATGAGAAACGCTCTAAGAAAAGAGAGGGCGGGGCTACTAGCTGCTAAGGTAAGACTGATTTCAGCAAATGAAATATCCTCTAAGAAATTTAATTAAATCATTATAAGAAGCGACCTAGAGGATCCAAAGCATTTTTAATTTTTTTCCAAACAAAATTACCTAGAATCCCAAGATTTTTTCAAGTAATATATAATTTGTAAAAAACGCATAAATTCTTAACATGACAACAATTTTAAAGATTCCAAAAACTCTAAACAAAATAAAAATCCTAAAAATCTAAAAAGTCGTCCCCACCCTCTATTTTCTTAGAGAATATGTCATTTGCCAAAATCACCCTTAACAGGTATTAGCTCCACCCACCGGCCCTCTTTTTTCTTACAGGGTATCTCATTTGCTTAAATCAGTTTTATCTTAGCAGGTACAAGCCCCGCCCACCCACCCTGTGTTTTTTCTTAGAGTGTCTCATTTGCCAAAATCACTCTTATCTTATCAGGAACTAGCCCCGCCCACCCACCCTCTCTTTTCTTAGAGGACATGACATTTGCCAAAATCAGTCCTGGCAGGTACTTGCCCTGCTCCCCTAAGAGAAGAGAGGATGGGTGGGCGGGGCTAATTCCTGCTAAGACAAGAGTGATTTTGGCAAATGAACTATCCTCTAAGAAATTTAAATAAACTATTGCCAAACAAAAAATTGCAGTGATTCCAGAGATTTCAGAGATTCTAAAGATTCCAGAGATTCCAAAAATTTCAGCGATTTAAAGACTCTTGGGGTCTATTAATTTTAGAAAATCTGGAAATATCTAGAAAGTGTGAAAAATCTGGAAGACCTAGAAATGTTGAATTCTGACACATCAGAGGGCTCAATTATAGAAATTCTAAACATTTTACTGAATTAAATAATAATTTTTCGAAGTTGTATTTGTTCGACTGTACTTTAGGGGCTAGGGAAGTTCTGCCGAAATAACTTTCAAGCAATTTTTTTCTATGTTAAAATGACATTAATATAGATGTAAAGCTCCATAATTTAATATTTAAATAAATAAACAAATAAATAAATGCGTAGATAGATTTTAGGGAGAAGTGCTGACAACAGACGTCATAATAAATTCGCAAAAGGCAAAAACCCCAAAACAATTAATCTCCGCTTTAGGGTCATTCAGTATCCATCAACTTATTTGTTTGTTTTTCGTAGTAATTGCACCAATTAATCTACAATTTATTTATTGGTCTCAAATTTTCCGGTCCGGAATAATCCGCGCGTAATTAATCACTTTCGGCGCTCTTATCAACAAAAAAGCGCCTCCCCGCCCGGCGCCATCGCGCCCTTGCCACCCGGCCAATCGCGACCAGGTGCCCAGCGCGCGCACCTGCCTCCCCTCGCGCGGCCATCGCGACCTTGAACTCCGCCAATAGCGCCCAGGTACCACGCACTCGTCGCCTCCTCGACTCTCAAGCGTGTTATTTCCAACAAAAAAGCGATAAGCGCGATGTTTTGACTAGTGGCACGTCCGGTTGCCACCGACTGGAAACAGCCAATCGCAGCCGCTAAAAAACGCTTTACGTAATCGCTTGCGTCTAGACGGCGATCATCCGATGTGTTTTTGTTTTGACAAAATCGAGCGCGTCGTGTGCCGGCGTACCTGAAAAATAACTCGCTGGCGCCCGACCAGGATGGAGATCATGCGATGTTCACGGCCATAAAATTCGTTGAATCGGCAATGTTTTCGCGGAATTTTGCCACTTTTGGGTGTTTATCAGACGTAGACGGGTGATTAGGTTTGTTTTTAAACATATTGATTTGGGGTTTTTATGAGGAGTTGCGGCTGGCGCTAACGCGACCTTTCACCCCTGTGGGAGACGATGTTCGGGTCACGTAAGGCCAGTGGAGGCTAATTGGTCTAGTTTTTGTGGGGGAAGTTGGTTTTCCAAGGTTTTCCGACTGTTTTTCTTTAGTAGACGGGCGCAGCCATGTGCCGAATTTAGAAGGTCGCGCGATTAATGGACCTTATAATCTTGAAAAATTGTTTTATAAGGAGTGATAATTTTTTCGCAATAGTGGTGATTATTCGAGAAAGTGTTTCAATTATGGGTGATATTGATTGGGAGTGTTGCGATAAAGGCGGTGAAACCTGCCCAAAAAGACCTGATGAACTTGTTATCAAGGTTATTAGTACAAATATAGTGTTAAAAGTAATTAATCTAATTTATGAGTTTTATTGCCTCGGACTTGATTATTGGAGTGTAATTACTGCGATATGGGGAGTGTTGAGTAATTTAATGGATATTACATCACTTTGGCTGCGAGTTTTTGCAAAATGGATCATTAATAAGACAGTTTAGTGAAAATTTCTGCCATTTTTCAAAAATCGCCAAGTTGAAATGTAGCTCACTTGCTAAGCACACTTGTATGATAGTGTGCAGGAGCACCATCCTGTTGACTCTGCAGCGCCATTTATTTTTCATCACGTGAATTTAACGTTTTATGAAATATTACACATGTATTAATGGTTGCATATCTCCCATCATATGTCGCTTAATCCGGTTGGCGGCCCTGCCAATCTGTCACCTGTCAAGTTAAACCCCCCGACATTCCCATTTTTTGTGGTTAGGTCGTGCGAACCGGCGCTTTTCTTCCCATTTCTCCAAAACAACACAATGTCGGTGCACACCACCCTCCTGGACTTCTCAGTGGACCCGTCCGCAGTGAAAAACGAGTCTCAAGTGTCAGTAGTGTGTTCAAATATCGAAAACGTCCTACGCGAGTACCTCACGAACCTGAAGACCCTGGCCACCATCCCCTTCGAGACCGACCTGCTCAAGCTGTACTCGAGCGACGGCGGGGTGTCGGCGACGCTGCGCGTCTTCCAGACGGGCCTCATCACCCTCAACATCGAGTACCTGAAGGCGGAGTCCCAGGAGGCGCAGCTGAGCTTCGAGGTAAACAGGAGTCCGACGCTGCAGTTGCCGTTCGTACAGTGTACTCGCTAACGTTCTTTTACAGCGGACCAAAGTTTTAGAGCAGAAATTGCGAATCGTTTTAAATTGTTTCCGATCTAAACTCCTTCCTCCGATTAAGCGAGGGACACACATTGATGTGTATATACTTAGCTCAGGTTCGAATTAGTTTTAGGATTGAGGTTCGGGTGGGGCCGCTCCGGCGAATCGACGGACGGGCTTGAACAAGCATTTATTTTTTTATTTATGTTTTATTTGGGATTTTTGTTTTGTGTTTGGAAAAAGGTTTGTGTGATAAGTTTTTGTCACGTCTAGGTTTTAAGCGATTATTTTCTTATCAGGTTAGCAGGTGTTCCAGACTGTTTTTCACAGACACGTTTTGCTTTTTCTGCATATATTTATCGTTTAATTTAATCTACGAAATGGGAATTCTTTGATATTTGAAACTGTTTATTCAGCTGTTTTTAATAATCTCGGTTAAAATTTGCTTTGAAATTTCAAGAATTTTGCCGCTTCGTTGTCATTGATTATTCATTCGTTAATCGTCCCCTAATTGTTTAAATATTTCCAATGTTTATTGTCTTGCAGATAGGCAACCAATAATTCAGCTCGGATAATAGTTTTGTTACCTATGTCAACGAAACGGCAAATTTCTAAGCCCACTTGATATTTCAGGTAGTAAAATTCACATCGCAAGAGGTAGAGAGAAAGTGTGTGAGAATATTCGAGAGAATGATGCATAGAGAACGCTAGAAAGAGTGAAAGAGAAAAGGGGGAGGCGAAATAGTGCGACAGTTAAATAAAATCAGAGAAAGAGAGCGAATGCGAATCACACAGAATGAAAAAGAATAAGACAATAAGAGTGACAGGGCGAGGAAGATAGAGCGAAAGTGAGAGAGAATGTTGGAGAGCGTGAGAAATTGAGGGCGAATGAGGGAAGAGCGAAAGGAAAAACCACAGAAAAAATGCGAGCGATTAGCGAGAATAAAAGAAAGAGTGAGAGCGAGAGAGAATGAGAACAAGAATGAGATGAAAACGTTATAGGGAAGAGAAAAAAATGTGAGTGAGGAGAGAGAGAGAGAGAGAGAGAGAGAGAGAGAGAGAGAGAAAGGGGGGAGAATGAGAGAGAGGGTGATAAATGAGAGAATAAGGGAGGGGGTGATAAATGGGAGAAAGAGAGAGAGGGTGATAAATGGTAGAATGAGAGAAAGTGATAAATGAGGAATGCGAGAGAGTGATAAAGGGGGGAGAATGAGAGAGAGGGTGATATATGAGAGAATGAGAGAAAGTGATAAAGGGGGAGAATGAGAGAAAGTGATAAAGGGGGAGAATGAAAGAGAGTGATAAAGGGGGGAGAATGAGAGAGGGAGTGATAAATGGGAGAATGAGAGAAATTGATAAAGGGGGAGAATGAGAGAGAGTGATAAATGAGAGAATAAGAGAAAATGATAATTGGGAGAATGAGAGAGGGAATGATAAATGGGAGAATCAGAGAGTGATAAATGAGAGAATAAGAGAGATCGATAAATGGGAGAATGAGAGAGAGTGATAAATTAGAGAATGAGAGAGAGTGACAAAGGGGGAAGAATGAGAGAGAGGGTGATAAATGAGAGAATAAGGGAGGGGGTGATAAATGGGAGAAAGAGAGAGAGAGGGTGATAAATGGGAGAATGAGAGAAATTGATAAAGGGGGAGAATGAGAGAGAGTGATAAATGAGAGAATAAGAGAAAATGATAATTGGGAGAATGAGAGAGGGAGTGATAAATGGGAGAATCAGAGAGTGATAAATGAGAGAATAAGAGAGATCGATAAATGGGAGAATGAGAGAGAGTGATAAATTAGAGAATGAGAGAGAGTGACAAAGGGGGAAGAATGAGAGAGAGGGTGATAAATGAGAGAATAAGGGAGGGGGTGATAAATGGGAGAAAGAGAGAGAGGGTGATAAATGGTAGAATGAGAGAAAGTGATAAATGAGGAATGCGAGAGAGTGATAAAGGGGGGAGAATGAGAGAGAGGGTGATATATGAGAGAATGAGAGAAAGTGATAAAGGGGGAGAATCAGAGAAAGTGATAAAGGGGGAGAATGAAAGAGAGTGATAAAGGGGGGAGAATGAGAGAGGGGGTGATAAATGGGAGAATGAGAGAAATTGATAAAGGGGGAGAATGAGAGAGAGTGATAAATGAGAGAATAAGAGAAAATGATAATTGGGAGAATGAGAGAGGGAGTGATAAATGGGAGAATCAGAGAGTGATAAATGAGAGAATAAGAGAGATCGATAAATGGGAGAATGAGAGAGAGTGATAAATTAGAGAATGAGAGAGAGTGACAAAGGGGGAAGAATGAGAGAGAGGGTGATAAATGAGAGAATAAGGGAGGGAGTGATAAATGGGAGAATGAGAGAAAGTGATAAATGGGGGAGAATGAGAGAGAGTGGTAAAGGGGGGAGAATGAGAGAGGAGAGTGATCAAAGGGGGAGAATGAGAGAGAGTGATAAATGAGAGAATGCGAGAGAGGGTGATAAATGGGAGAATGCGAGAAATTGATAAAGGGGGAGAATAAGAGAGAGTGATAAATGAGAGAATTAGAGAAAGTGATAAATGGGGAAGAATAAGAGAGAGTGGTAAAGGGGGGAGAATGAGAGAGAGTGATCAACTGGAGAGAATGAGAGAGAGTGATAAATGAGAGAATGAGAGAGAGGGTGATAAATGGGAGAATGAGAGAAAGTGATTAATGGGAGAATGAGAGAGAGTGACAAAGGGGGGAGAATGAGAGAGAGGGTGATAAATGAGAGAATGAGAGGGGGGGTGATAAATGGCAGAATGAGAGAGACTGATAAATGAGAGAATGAGAGAGAGTGATAAAGGGGGGAGAATGAGAGAAGTTGATAAAGGGGGAGAGTGAGAGAGAGAGTGATAAATGAGAGAATAAGAGAGAATGATAATTGGTAGAATGAGAGAGGGAGTGATAAAAGAGAGAATAAGAGAGATCGATAAATGGGAGAATGAGAGAGAGTGATAAATGGGAGAATGAGAGAGAGTGATAAAGGGGGAGAATGAGAGCGAGAGATAAATGGGAAAATGAGAGAGAGTGATAAATAGTAGAATGGGAGGGAGAGATAAATTTGAGAATGCGAGAGCGAGAGAGATAAATGAGATCATAAGGTAATGAGATAACGAGAGATAATGGGAGATAACGAGATCATGACATAATGAGAGATAATGAGATAATGAGGGATAGTGAGATAATGAGGGATAATGAACTAATGAAATAATGAGATGAGATCGTGAGATAATGTGAGTGAGAGGGAAGGATGAATGTGGGACATCAGAAAATGAGCTAAACAGAATAGGAGGAAGAAAAACTTCGGGCGAAAAGAAACAGAGAGTGAGAGTGAGAGAGTATGAGACAGCGAGAGAATGAAAGTACGAGCGCAAATGATGGAGAGAGCGATAACAAATGAGAAAAAAGTGAGAAAAGACTGACAGAAAAAAGCAGGTGAGAATAAGACAGCGAGAGAGAAAAATGCGATCGCAGTCGAAGAATGAAAGAAAGAGAGTGAGAACGACAGAAAATGAAAGGGGGCGAGAGGAAATGAAATCGCGACGTTGATTGAAAAAGAGAATAAGAGAGTGAAAATGAATGAGGAAATGAAAAGGAGCGAGAGGGAATGAAAGTAAGAAAGAATGGGAGAGACAGGTGAAAGAAAAAAAAAGCTAGAGAAAAAAGTGAGCGAGGAGAGAGAATGAGATATTAAGAGAGAGAGGACGAGGGGGAGCATGAGAGTAAGAGGGAGAGAGTGAAACCGAAAGCGAGAGAGAGAGAGTGAAACCGAAAGCGAGAGAGAGAGAGAGAGAGAGTGAAATCGAAAGCGAGAGAGAGAGAGGGAGAGAGAGAGGGGGGGGAATAGAGTAAAGACGAGAGAAAAACAAATCGCGAGAGAAAGAATAAAATCGAAAGCGAGGGAAACGAAAGCAGGGGAGAATTAAACAACGAAAAAATGGAAAAGAGTGAAAGCGGAAGAATGAGAGAGGAAGCGAGAGAAACAGAAGAATGAGATGTGATTTTGAGAAAAAAGAAGAAACAATTGAAAATGACGAGAAATCAAGGGAGAAAAGGGTAAGAGACGAAAGAATGGGGAAGAGTGGGAGACATGTATGGAGAAAAGTAGAGCGGGGATAGAGAGAAAAGGAGAGAGTAAGGGATGAAATGAATGAGTTGTGAATTCTAATGGAAAAATACAAAGATGAAAAAAAATAAATAATAAACTTGAACTTTCGAACAACCCTGTGGACCCATTCTGGAACGCCTGCCACTCCCCCCCCCCTTCCCTCTTCATCCCCCAAGCCAGTCCACCTCTGATTCGCCGGAACGGCGGCCACCCCTTGGGTACCCATCCCCCGACACCGGGTATCATCGTTGCTTGTCATTCCACCTAGAATTTTCTTTAAATTTTTTTAAATGTATGGCTTGTCCCCGTTCAAGCAAGGCTTTTTTATGTTTTGATGCATGCAATTTTGTAGCGGTGCAAGGAAATTAATCGGGATTTAACCGAGCGTGTGGTCGGAGTCCAGCGAAGCCAAGCGTTCGTCCCCATCAAGAGGGGCACTTTCAGCCGGTACTTCCCCAGTTCAGGTTCGTAGTTCGCTGCAATAAGACGCTTCGATGCACGCTGGCCAACCCTCACGATCCCGCCCCCTCCCCCGCCGCCGATCGCGCACTCAGAGATTCTCCTTTTAGATGACCGCTTGCTAGAGTACGACATCGACGAACTAGTGTTCGAAGAGAGGACCCCATATCAGAAGATACAGATCGTGCACTCGAAGAGCTTAGGCAACATGCTGGTGCTGGACGACTTACAGAGTGAGTAGGGGGGCTGAGTCGGCGCGGACTTAAGTAGGGTTGCAGACATATCCGAGGCCGACTTGATCTACACGGAGACGCTGATGGGGCGCGGGCTGGAGGACTACAAGGACAAGGAGATCGTGATCCTGGGCGGCGGCGACGGGGCGCTGCTGTACGAGCTGCTGAAGGAGAAGCCGAAGGAGGTGATCATGCTGGAGATCGACGAGGTGGTGATGAAGGCCTGCGCGAAGCACATGCGCTCGATCTGCGGCGACGTGCTGGACAGCCTGTCGGGACCTAACTACGAGGTGAGATTTCTAGGCTTTCTAAAGCGTATCGATCGGGGCCAGGCACTGACCGCGGGATTTTTTTGTATCTTTTAAAGAGAGAGAAGTATCTATGAATTCCATTGAAATGTGTCAATTTTTCGAAACATGTTATATTTTTCGATTCAGTTAGTCGAGATCTATATTTCTTGTAAAATTTTAGGCCAATTTTTCAATATTATGAAATTTTATGATGAATATGTCAATTAATGGAATATTTGGATTAAAAACAAAAAACTTTCAAACCGAGTATTTCGAAAATATTGCTTCAGACCATGAACGTGTTATATTTTTCGAATCACCACATCGAGATCTATATCCCAGATTTTTTGTATTTTTTTTTAGCAAATTTTTCCAAAAGGTCATTTTTTATGAAATTTTCGATCTGTTTCTGATCTCCTCGACCACTTTCGAAAATTACCTAAAAAGACTTTTGTACTCGTACATTTCGACTTTCAAAAGTTATTTTCGGTTTCATTCCTTCGAAAATTGTTACCGGTTCACCAGAATCGCCCATAGGATTTTTAAAAGTTGGATTTTGAATCCATTTTTTCGAAAAATGGTCGTCGTATGTCATATATCTAATAGGGAGAGAGAGAGAGTATAAGTCATAAAGAAAGTCGAAGAGGGAGAGTAAGTCAGAGAAAGGGAGACTAAGTCAGAGAGAAAAAGTCATATAGAGAGAAAGAGAATAAGAAAGTGAGAGAGAGTAAGTCATATAGACAGGGAAAATTAGGGAGGTAATGTAAGTCACGGAGAGCGAGAGATTATAGAGAGGGAGAGTAAGTAATGGAAAGGGAAAGTAAATCATGGAGAGAGATAGTAAGTCATAGAGGGTTGGTAAGTCATGGAGAGAGAGTAAGTCATAGAAAGACATAAAAAGAGTAAGTCATGTAGAGGAGTGTAAGTCATGGAGAGGGACAGTAAGTCAGAAAGGAGAAGTTATATAGAGAGAAAGAGAATAAGACAGCGAGAGTGAGAGAGAGTAAGTCATGGAGGGAGTGAAAGTTAGAGAGGTAAAGTAAGTCATAATCATAGAAAGAGAGAAAAAGTCATAGAGAGAGAGAAAGTCATGGAGAGAGCGAGTCAGTCGTAGAGAGGGAGAATAAGTCATATAGAGGGGGAGTCTAGTCATAGATTGAAAAAATCAGAGAAAGATTAAGTCATGGAGAGAGAGAGTCAGTCGTAGAGAGGGAGAGTAGTCACAGAAAGGTAAAGAAACTCATACACAAAGAGAGTAAGTCATAGAGAGAGAAAGAAAGTCAGAGAGATCGAGAGTAAATCAAAGAGATAGAAAGTGTAAGTCATAGAGAGGAGGGGTAAGTAAGTCATAGAGAGATAAAGAAAGTCATAGAGAGATAAAAAATCATAGAGACAGTAAACCATAGAGAGAGAGTAAGTCATAGAAAGGGAGAGTAAGTCAGAGAGAAAAAGTTATATAGAGTGAAAGAGTAAGACAGAGTAAGTCAGAGATAGAAAACGGTAGAGAGGCAAAGTAAGTCAGAGGAGGTAGTAAGCCATAGAGGGGATAGTAAGTCAGTCATAGAGAAGTAAGTCATAAAAAGGGAGAGTAACTCATAGAGAAAGGGTGGGTAAGTCAGAGACAGAAAAAGAGTAAGCCATAGAGAGAGAGAGAGAGAAAGTCAGAGAGGTAAAAGAAGTCATAGAGAGGGACAGTAAGTCAGAAAGAAGAAGTTATATAGAGAGAAAGAGAATAAGACAGGGAGAGTAAGTCATGGAGGGAGAGTAGTCACAGAAAGGGAAAGAAACTCATACATAAGGAGACTAAGCCACGGAGAGCGAGAGTAAGTCATAGAGAGAGAGAGAGAGAGAGAAAGTCAGAGAGATGGAGAGTAAATCAAAGAAATAGAAAGAGTAAGTCATAGAGAGGAAGGGTAAGTAAGTCATAAAGAGATAGAGAAACACTAAACCATAGAGAGAGAGGGAGTAAGTCAGAGAGAAAAAGTCATAGAGTGAAAGAGAGTAAGACAGAGTAAGTCAGTGATAGAAAACGGTAGAGAGGTAAAGTAAGTCAGAGGAGGTAGTAAATCATATAGAGGGCATAGTAAGTCAGTCATAGAAAGGGAGAGTAACTCATAGAGAAAGGGTGGGTAAGTCATATAGAGAGAGAGAGAGTAATTCATGGAGAGAGCGAGTCAGTTGTAGAGAGGGGGAGTAAGTCATAGAGAGAGAGAGAAAGCCTGAGAGGGAAAGTAAATCAGAGAGAGAGAGAAAGTCAGAGAGGGAAAGTAAATCAGAGAGGGATAGTACGTCATAGAGAGGGGGCAAGTCAGAGATGGAGAGTAAGTCAAAGAGAACGAATAAGTCACAGAAAGCGTGGGTAAGTCATAGAGAGAGAGGAAGTAAGTCATATATAGAGGGCGAATTAGTCGTAGAGAGGAAAAGTAATTCATAGAGAGGGGGAGTAAGTCAGAGAGAAAGTCATATATCTAATAGGGAGAGAGAGAGAGCATAAGTCATAAAGAAAGTCGAAGAGGGAGAGTAAGTCAGAGAAAGGGAGAGTAAGTCAGAGAGAAAAAGTCATATAGAGAGAAAGAGAATAAGAAAGTGAGAGAGAGTAAGTCATATAGACAGGGAAAATTAGGGAGGTAATGTAAGTCACGGAGAGCGAGAGTAAGTCAAAGAGGGATAGTAAGTCATGGAGGGAGTTTAAAAAGGGACAGAAAGAGTAAGTCATAGAGAGAGAGAGGGTAAGTAAGTCATTAGAGAGATTGTAAAAGTCTTAGAGAGAGAAAATAATAGAAATAGTAAGCCGTAGAGAAAGAGTAAGTCATAGAGAGGAAGAGTAAGTCGTGCAGAGGAGTGTAAGTCATGGAGAGAAAGTTCGAGCGGTAAAATAAGTCATAAAGGGGGTACTAGGTCATGTAGAGGGAGGGAAGTCATAGAGAAAGAGAAAAAGTCAGATAGCGAGTAAGTCATAGAGAGAGAGAGAGAGAAAGTTATGGAGAAAGCGAGTCAGTAGTAGAGAGGGAGAGTTAGTCATATAGAGGGAGAGTAAGTCATAGAGAGAGTGGTAAAGTCATGGAGGGGGAGAGTAGGTCATAGAGAGGGATAGTAAGTCAGAAAGGTGGAGAGTAAGTCAAAGAGACAGAAAAAGTGAGTCATAGAGAATGAGGGGTTGAGTAAGTCATAGAGAGAGAGTAAGTCATAGAGAGCCAGTAACTTATAGAGAGGGAGAGTAAATCATGAAGAGAGTGTAAGTCATGGAGGGGGAGAGTAAGTCAGAGAGAAAAAAATCATAAAGAAAATCAGAGAGAGAGAGAGAGTGAGAGAGTAAGTCATAGAGAGGAATAGCTAATTATATTGAGGAAGAGCGTCGTGAGAGGGAAAGAGAGAGAGAGAGAGACTGTCAGAGAGGAAAAGTAAGTCATAGAGAGGGGAAAAGTCAGAGATGGAGAGTATGTCAAAGAGAAAGAGTAAGTCATAGAGAAAGCGTGGGTAAGTCATAGAGAGTAAGTTAAAGAGAGAAAGAATAAGTCATAGAGAGAGGAAGTAAGCCATATTAGAGAGAGAGAGAGAGAGAGAGTAAGTAATGGAGAGGGTGAGGTAGTCGTAGAGAGCGAGAGTAAGTCATAGAGAGGGGGAGTAAGTCAGACAGAAAGTTATAAAGAAAGTCATATAGAGTGATGGTCATAAAGAAAGTCGGAAAGGGAGAGTAAATCATAGAGAGGAAGAGAGTAAGAGAGAGAGAGTAAGTCAGATAGAGAAAGGAAAAATAAGTTATAGAGAGGGGAATAAGTCATAGAAAGGGAGAGTAAATCATAGAAAGGGAAAGTAAGTCAGAGAGGGAAAGTAAATCATAGAAAGGGAGGGTAAGTCAGAGAGAAAAATTATATAGAGAGAGTAAGACACACAGAAAAAGTCATAAAGAAGGAGGGTAACTCAGAGAGATGGTAAGTCAGAATTAGAAAAAGTGCAAGTCGTAGAGAATGAGGGGATGAGAAAGTCAAAGAGAGAGAAAGAGAGGGAGAGTAAGTCAGAGAAAGTCAGAGAGATGGAGAGTAAATCAAAGAAATAGAAAAAGTAAGTCATGAAAACAAAGGGTAAGTAAGTCATAGAGAGGTAGAGTAAGTCATAGAAAGAGAGAGAGAGAGAGAGAGAGAGAGAGAGAGTCGGAGAGGGCGGGTAAATTATAGAGAGGAAGAGAAGAGAGAGAGAGAGAGAGAGAATAAGTCAGATAGAGAAAGTAATGGAAAGGAAAAGTAAGTTATAGAGGGGGGAGTAAGTCAAAGAGAGAAAAAGGCATAGAGAGAGAGTAAATCATGGAGAAAGCGAGTCAGTCGTAAAGAGGGAGATTAAATCAGAGAGAGAGGGTAAGTCACAGAGAGAAAGAGTCTTAGAGAAAGTCATAGAGACAGATAGTAAGTCAAAGAGGAATAGTAAGTCATGAAAAGAGAGTAAAAAATAGAGAGAGAGATGGAGAGTAAGTCAAAGAGACAGAAAAAGTAAGTCCATAGAGAGAGAGGGGGTAAGTAAGTCCATAGAGAGAAAGTTATTGCGGTAAAGTAAGTCATAAAGGGGGTAGTAGGTCATATGAAGGGAGAGTAAGTCATGGAGGGAGAGAATAAGTCATAGAGAGGGAGAAAAAGTCAGATAGCAAGTAAGTCATAGAGAGAGAGAGAGAGAGAAAGTCATGGAGAGAGCTAGTCAGTCGTAGAGAGGGAGAGTAAGGCGTATAGAGGGGGAGTCTAGTCATAGAGGGAAAAAGTCAGAGAGAGATTATGTCATGGAGAGAGAGAGAGAGTCAGTTGTAGAGAGGGAGAGTTAGTCATATAGAGGGAGAGTAAGTCATAGAGAGAATGGTGAAGTCATAGAGGGGGAGAGTAGGTCATAGGGAGGGATAGTAAGTCAGAAAGGTGGAGAGTAAGTCAAAGAGACAGAAAGAGTGAGTCCTAGAAAGAGTAAGTCATAGAGAGCCAGTAACTTATAGAGAGGGAGAGTAAGTCATGAAGAGAGAGTGTGAGTCATGGAAAGGGAGAGTAAGTCAGAGAGAGAAAATCATAAAGAAAGTCATAGAGAGAGAGAGTGAGAGAGTAAGTCATAGAGAGGGGGAAAGTCAGAGATGGAGAGTATGTCAAAGAGAAAGAGTAAGTCATAGAGAAAGCGTGGGTAAGTCATAGAGAATAAGTCAAAGAGAGAAAGAATAAGTCATAGAGAGAGGAAGTAAGCCATATATATAGCGAGAGAGAAAGTAATGGAGAGGGCGTAGAGAGGGGGAGTGAGTCATAGAGAGGGAGTAAGTCAGACAGAAAGTTATAAAGAAAGTCATATAGAGAGAACGTCAGAAAGAAAGTGGGGAAGGGAGAGTAAATCATAGAGAGGAAGAGAGAAAGAGAGAGAGTAAGTCAGATAGAGAAAGGAAAAATAAGTTATAGAGAGGGGAGTAAGTCATAGAGAGGGAGAGTTACTCATAGAAAGGGAAAGTAAGTCAGAGAGGGAGAGTAAATCATAGAAAGGGTGGGTAAGTCAGAGAGAAAACTTATGTAGAGAGAAAGAGTAAGACACAGAGAGACAGTCATAGAGAGGGAGGTAACTCAGAGAGATGGTAAGTCAGAAATAGAGAAAGCTCAAGTCATAGCGAATGAGGGGATGAGAAAGTCAAAGAGAGGGAGAGTAAGTCAGAGAAAGTCAGAGAGATGGAGAGTAAATCAAAGAAATAGAAAAAGTAAGTCATAAAGAGAAAAGGGTAAGTAAATCATAGAGGTAGAGTAAGTCATAGAAAGAGAGAGAGAGAGAGAAAGTCAGAGTAAGCCATAGCTAGAGAGAAAGTCATAGAGAGATAGTAAGTCATAGGGGGGAGAGAGAGAGAGAAAGTCGGAAAGGGCGGGTAAATTATAGAGAGGAAAAGAGTAAAGAGAGAGAGAGAATAAATCATAGAAAGGAAAAATAAGTTATAGAGAGGGGAGTAAGTCACGGAGAGCGACAGTAAGTCAAAGAGAGAGTAAGTCATGGAGAGAGCGAGTCAGTCGTAGAGAGAGATAAAATTAGATAGGGAGTAAGTCACAGAGAGAAACAGTCATAGAGAAAGTCATAGGGACAGATAGTCAGTCATGGAGAGGGAGAAAGTCATAGAGAGAGAGAGAGAGAGAGAGAGAGAGAGTAAGTCATAGAGAAAGATAGTAAGGAGACCAGACACACGCAGAAAGAGTCTTAGAGAGAAAGTGAGTCATAGAGAGAGCGCCAGTCAGAGATAGAGTAAGTCATCGAGAGAGCAAGTCATATAGAGATCAGGTCATAGAAAGGAAGCCAGAGAGTTATCGAGAATATGACTCATAAATCATAGAGTGACTGCGTTATAGAGAGAAAGTGAGTTATAGAGTGATCCCTAGAGAGTGAGTCATAGAGTCATGGAGAGGGATAAAGTTATAAAAAGAGATAGAGAGAATGAGTTATGGCCTATGTGAAAAATCCTAAAGAGAGTCTGACGAGTCATAGAGTGAGAAATTCCCTCATGTAGAGTGCTGGTCATAGAACAGATCATAGAGATGGATAGAATCATAGAGAGGAATAGAGTCATAAAGAGGGATAGACATAAAGAAGGAGAGAGAGAAAGAGACTTTGAAGTCATAGAGAGAAAGGGACGGTGTAAGTCATAGACCTACAGAATGTAACTGAGAGAGAGCGAGAGAGATGGTGAGTCAAACAGAAAGGGGAGAATGAGTCAGAGATACGGAAAGAGAGAGAGAGAAAGTCATAAGAGAGAGAGAGTCATACATAGACAGACATAGAGACAGAGAAAATAAGTCATAGGGAGATAGAGAAAAGGAGTCATAGAGAAAAAGTGTATTGTTTGGCAATAATTTTGACACAAGACCTAACTAAAATTTTTCAAAATGGCGTCAGATTTTCTACAGATCTCTCTTGAAATTAATTAGAGTTTTATTTACATGTTATTTATAAATTTAAAGAATATCTACACAAGAAATTATATTTATTTTTGGTTGGTAATGACTTTGACAGCGAGCTATTCATAGAAAAGTCGTACTCGGTTTTTGGCATACTAATAAAAATTAACAACCTAAAGGTTAGCCGATTTTTTTTGAAATCAAATCAGCACTGATCAATAGAGGCGAGAATCCCTCGTACAATGCCTGGTCCTCGCGCCAAACCCGTCCCCATCCACCTTCTAATTTTTTTTGTTCAGATAATCGTAGGCGACTGCATCAAAGCCGTCGAACAATACATCAAAGAAGGCCGCAAGTTCGACTACGTCTTCGGCGACCTGACCGACGTCCCCCTCTCCGAGAGCCCCACTGGCGAGCTCTGGGAATTCATCAACAAAATCCTGAGCATGTCTTTCAAAATCCTGAAGCCCGACGGGAAATTCATGACACACGTAAGTCCAAACCATCTCAACCTTCCCCTCTACATCGTCCGTGTTTAGGTGATCGGCTCGGCGGCCGGAGACGCCCTCAAGATGTACGAAACCCAACTCATGAAGCTACAACCCCCCGTCAAGTTCACCACGTCGCACGCTTTCATTCCTTCGTTCCTCGAAGACTGGGTTTTCTACCAGGTCTTCTTCGACACGAAACAATAACCGATTCTTTCCTTTAGATTTATGGTTAGATTTGTCGTTGGTAGGTAGTAGGAGAAGATCTGTACATACATGCTTCCGTTTGCATGCCTGTTCAAGTTTGTTTATTTACGTTAATTAATAATTCGGTTTGTTTTTCATAGTGGGTATTTTTGTAACTTCTCGGATTGATTAGAAAATAATAATAAATTGGATTCACGTAATGATTTTTAGTCGCTTGCGTCTACCTACTTCCCTTAGCAACCCAATCAAAAGTCACTGTCAAATTCGGTCCTGATGTGAAATTCTCCGCCATGAAATTGCTACCTAGTTTAGGCCACGTTCTGCAAATTTGCGATTTGTTGTGTAAGCGCAGTCTCCACAAGCTCCCCTCGAGGTACATCATCGCATCCAGACGCGAAAATGTCTACGAAAAAGCCCTGGAAGAATGCAGGAAAGCGGGAGAAAGGATGCGCAAAGTAACCGACGAAACCGCCATGTATCCTAGAATCTCGCTCAACCCGTACTTAAGTCGCTTCAACTCCGAAGAGGACTGGATCCGCAGCTTCATGATAGGGTTCAACAAAGGGTTAGTCGTCAACACCAGGTCCGAAGAAGACCAGAAACCTTCATGGGGTCCAGTTGAAGATAAGTGCCAGAAAAAGGGCGGCTGCAACAAGGACTCGCAGCGGCAACTCTACTACGGACCCTGGGAAGACTGCAAAGAAGAAGACACCTGTCACGAAGACGACCCGTGCTATTGTCCACCGAAGAAGACGAAGAGGGGCGATAAGAAGAAGTGCGACGGTGGCGGCGACACATGCTACGAAATGGCCAAAAAGGACGACCCTTGCAAGAAAAAAGAAGACAAGAAGAAGGACGACCCTTGCAAGAAGAAGGGAGACAAAAAGGAGAAGAAGGACCCTTGCAAGAAAAAGGACGACAAGAAGAGTGACCCTTGCAAGAAGAAGAAGGACGACAAGAAGAGCGACCCTTGCAAGAAGAAAAAGGACGACAAGAACAGCGACCCTTGCAAGAAGAAAAAGGACGACAAGAAGAGCGACCCTTGCAAGAAGAAAAAGGACGACAAGAAGAGCGACCCTTGCAAGAAGAAAAAGGACGACAAGAAGAGCGACCCTTGCAAGAAGAAAAAGGACGACAAGAAAAGCGACCCTTGCAAGAAGAAAAAGGACGACAAGAAGAGCGACCCTTGCAAGAAGAAAAAGGACGACAAGAAAAGCGACCCTTGCAAGAAGAAAAAGGACGACAAGAAGAGCGACCCTTGCAAGAAGAAAAAGGACGACAAGAAGAGCGACCCTTGCAAGAAGAAAAAGGACGACAAGAAGAGCGACCCTTGCAAGAAGAAGAAGGACGACAAAAAGGACAAGAAGAGCGACCCTTGCAAGAAAAAGGACGACAAGAAGAGTGGTTCAGGCAAGAAGAGCGATCCTTGCAAGAAAAAGGACGACAAGAAGAAAGACGACCCTTGCAAGAAAAAGGGCGACAAAAAAAAGGACGACCCTTGCAAGAAGAAGAAGGAAGACAAGAAGAAAAAAGACGACCCTTGCAAAAAGAAGGAAGACAAGAAGAAAAAAGACGACCCTTGCAAGAAGAAGGAAGACAAGAAGAAAAAGGACGACCCTTGCAAGAAGAAGGAAGACAAGAAGAAGAAGGACGACCCTTGCAAGAAGGACAAAAAGAAGAAACACGACGACGACTGCAAGAACAAGGACTCCGGCAAAAATGATCCTTGCAAATGCAGCGCTTTAGGAAATTCCGGTAACACGAAGCTCGAAGATCCGTGCCATAAGGACAATCCTTGTCACAGGCCAAAGGAAATCGGTGCCGACCCCTGTAAAAAGAAACAAGTAGATGATTTGTGTAAACGGGACAGGGATAGAAGAGGAACGAAACGGAAGGTTTGTACCAACATGAGGAAAACAAACTCGATGGACCAAATTCGGGCCAAGTCAGACGCTGCGAAAATAAAAGCTATGAGTTCGTGTCCCGAGTTGGGCAAAGACGAAGACGACGAAGATGTAGAGGAAGAACACGACGTGGAAGTGGAAGATGATGTGGAAGACGGGACCATGAAGGCTGAACAAGCAGGAGGGGACGAAGTAGCACACCCGGATATTCTAAAAGAAGTTGACATTCTCGATTCGGAAAAATTAGCGGCGGCTGAACAACTAGGCGACAGATACAAAAATAAGGAATATTACGCGTTTAATAAGACCGCCTTCTACGATATGCAAGTGTTCATGACGGACCAACGTACTACGAAACCAGAAGCGAGCGAAGCGCCGGACAACGAAACCCGTGGTAACTAATAGTTATCGTCCTTTATTATAAATTAGTAGTTGTAAAATTACACTTTGAAACAACACTGAAAGTTTTCTTTCACTAGTAGTTCGCCTCCGAAGGTCTTGACCATCCTGCGTTGGGTCAAATCCACGATTTTGTGGTAAGCTTGGTGCCATGGGCATCCCCGGTCACTGAAATTCCGGTGCAAGAAGTTGATGTCGCTGGCCATCGCCAGTTGTCGGAAGTGTTCGCCTAAACGGGGATTTTTTGGCAGGTGGCAGCGCTTTTTTGGGATGCGCTGCTCTGATTGGTTGTGGTACCACTGGGTCTAAATTGTACTCTCTGATCACTTCGTCCCGGATTTCTTTGGGTAGTTCTTTGAGAGTGTCAAGACACACGTCTTCTTTCCGTATTTGCACCTACAGTGTTACCAATTACAACTATCGTGTGATCAGAAGTGACTGAGTCTGTTGGTAATCCTGGATTTTCCTATAATTTCCGGTTGTCAGCTGTCATGTCACGATTGACACATCTGTCACACAATTACTTCCGTTATGCCAATATAAACGCAGGAAAGGTTTACATTTTTGTTTCAAAAGTGCTGCCAACAGAGCCAGTCATTTCTGATTAGTGATTACGCGGTACATCAAAACTAACCTCAAAATTTTGTTGGTAACTAGCGCCATCTCTCCTTGCGATTTAAATGATTGATTATTAAGTTTGGGTGATTCTTTTTTTTTCAGCTTCTTTTTTGTTGTTCTTTTAGCGTAATTTTCTGTCATTTTTCCTTTTTTTTTGGCTTGCTTTTTTCGAGTCGGATTATCGGATTTGTTAGAATTTTGTCGTATTTTCAGCGTTTTCGTCGCTTTTTGTTGACTTTTTTTCTACTCTTTTCTGTGTGCGATAAAATATGTGACAGAAAAACAAGAGGAGGTTTCAAAACGGTGACAGAACAAAAAAAAAACGAAAAAAGGTCAAAAAAAGCAGTAAAAAGTGACAAAAAAACCTAGAGAACAGTCAAAAACGAAAAAAACCGGAAAAGGGTAAATAAAAAAACCAGGTGAAAAAAGTAACAAAAAAGGGGACAAAACAAGACAAAAAAAGGGCAGCAACAAAAGCGACAAGAAGTTCAGAAAAATGTCTCAAAAAAGCGATTAAAAAACAAGACTTAAAAAAGCGACCAAAAATGAAATAAAACTTGTGATAAAAGAAAAACAACAAAAAATAAAATAAAGGCGACAAAAAAGTAAGACAAAAAAATCTACCAAAAAAGGCTCAAAAAGAGGGAAAAGAAGCGACAAAACAAAGCGAAAAAAACGGGAAAAGACGATAAAATAATGAAAAAAAGGCAACCTAAAAAACAAGGCGGAAATATGCAACAAAAAAAATTGAAAAAAAAAAGAAAATAAAAGGGGAACAAAGACTGCAGGTGACAAAAAAGAGGTGTGTAAACAAAAAAAAAACTCAAAAAGGGGGGAAAAACCTACAAAAAAATGAGCAAAAAAAAGCACAAAAAACACTCAAAAAACGACAACAGAAGAGCAAAAAAGAAGGCGAAAAAAACAAGACAAAAAAGGCAACTTAAAACAACGAAAACAGACCCAACAAAAAGGAAAATAAAAACTGCAATAAAAAAAAGACGTAAAAAACAAAAAATGTGCAAAAACAGAAGAGGCAACAAAAAAGCGACTAAAAAGTAAGGCTTAAAAAAGCAGTCAAAAATACGATCAATACGTAACAAAGAAAACGACAAAGAAGGTTTAAAAAAGGGTGATTAAACAGGGGACAAAAAATAAAATAAAGGCAACAAAAATGATAGCAAAAAAAACTACAAAAAGGGAACAAGACTACAACAAAATGGGATAAAAAAAATGACAATAAAACAGACAAAAGACGGTCAAAAGTGACAAAACAAAGAGAAAAAAACAGCAAAAGAAGGCGATAAAATGATAAAAAAAAGGCAATCCAAAAAACAAGGCGAAAAAATGCAACAAAAAAATCGCAAAAAAAATAAAAAGGGGAACAAAGACGGCAGGCGACAAAAAAAGGCGAGAAAAACAAAAACTCAAAAAGGGAGGAGAAAAACCTGCAAAAACAAGATGCAAACAAACGCCAAAAAAAAAAACACAAAAAAGCGACAACAGAATAGCGAAAAAATAAGGCAAAAAAGGTGATCAAAAAACCAAAGCAAAGAAAAAGGCAATTCATAAAAAACGAAAAGAAACACAACAAAAAGAGAACAAAAACTGCAATAAAAAAAACAAAAAAGGCGCCAAAAACAGAGGAGGTTACAAAAATGATGACAAAAAAACTACAAAAAAGGCTTAAACAAGGGGAAAAAATGGGATAAAAAAATTACAATAAAACCGACAAAACAAAGAGAAACAAACGGCAAAAGAAGGCGATAAAATGATGAAAAAAAGGTAACCTTAAAAACAAGATGAAAAAATGCAACTAAGAGAAAATCGAAAAAAAAAAAGAAAAAAAAGGGGGAACAAAGACTGCAGGCGACAAAAAAAAGGCGTGAAAAAACAAAAAAAATCAAAAAGGGGGAAAACATTCAAAAAAAGAAGCAGAAAACAAACACAAAAAACACTCAAAAAAACGACAACAGAAGGGCAAAAAAGGAGGCGAAAAGGCAATTAAAAAACAATCCAAAAAAAAACGAAAAGAAACCCAACAAAAAGGGAAACAAAAACTGGAATTAAAAAAAAGACGCCAAATACAGAAGAGGCGACAAAAAGTCCACAAAAAAACGACTAAAAAATGCGATCAAATATGTGACAAAGAAAACGGCAAAAGAAGGTTTAAAAAATGATGATAAAAACGGGGGCAAAAAATTTAAAAAAGCTACAAAAATCGGACACAAAAAAAGCGACAAAAGAGAAGAGACAATAAAAATGCCAAAAAAAGCGACAAAAACGGAATTAAAAGTGATAAAAACGACCGATAAAAGAATCTCAAAAAACGACCAAAGTAGGCGAAAAAATAGACAAAAGAAGCGCACAAAAAATACACCAAAAAGGGCGACTATAAAAATCTACAAGAAAACGACAAAAAAGGCTCAAAATGCGACTAAAAACAAGAGAAGGCTAAAAAAACGACAAAAAAAACTGCGATAGAAAAAACCGATAAAAAAGAAGAGGTGAAAAAGCGACAAAAAATGCTGAAAAAAAAAGGTGACAAGAAAGACGGATAAAAAAACAGTCAAAAAGAAAAAAAGCGAAAAGAGCGAAGACGGCCCGTGCTATTCTCCGCCGAATAAGAAGAAGAGGGGCGATAAGAAGAAGTGCGACGGTGGAGGCGACACCTGCTACGAAATGGCCAAAAAGGACGACCCTTACAAGAAGAAGGAAGACAAGAAGAAAAAAGACGACCCTTGCAGGAAGAAGGAAGACAAGAAGAAAAAGGACGACCCTTGCAAGAAGAAGGAAGACAAGAAGAAGAAGGACAACCCTTGCAAGAAGGACAAAAAGAAGAAACACGACGACGACTGCAAGAACAAGGACTCCGGCAAAAATGATCCTTGCAAATGCAGCGCTTTAGGGAATTCCGGTAACACGAAGCTCGAAGATCCGTGCCATAAGGACAATCCTTGTCACAGGCCAAAGGAAATCGGTGCCGACGACTGTAAAAAGAAACAAGTAGATGATTTGTGTAAACGGGACAGGGACAGAAGAGGCACCAAACGGAAGACCTGTAGCAACGTGAGGAAAACAAACTCGATGGACCAAATTCGGGCCAAGTCAGACGCTGCGAAAATCAAAGCTATGAGTTCGTGTCCCGAGTTGGGCAAAGACGAAGACGACGAAGATGTAGAGGAAGAACACGACGTGGAAGTGGAAGATGATGTGGAAGACGGGACCATGAAGGCTGAACAAGCAGGAGGGGACGAATTTGCGCACCCGGATATTCTACAAGAAGTTGACATTCTCGATTCGGAAAAACTAGCGGCGGTTGAACAACTAGGCGACAAATACAAAAATAAGGAATATTACGCGTTTAATAAGACCGCCTTCTACGATATGCAAGTGTTCATGACGGACCAACGTACTACGAAACCAGAAGCGAGCGAAGCACCGGACAACGAAACCCGTGGTAACTAATAGTTATCGTCCTTTATTATAAATTAGTAGTTGTAAAATTACACTTTGAAACAACATTGGAAGTTTTCTTTCACTAGTAGTTCGCCTCCGAAGGTCTTGACCATTCCGCGTTGGGTCAAATCCACGATTTTGTGGTAAGCTTGGTGCCATGGGCATCCCCGGTCACTGAAATTCTGGTGCAAGAAGTTGATGCCGCTGGCCATCGCCAGTTGTCGGAAGTGTTCGCCTAAACGGGGATTTTTTGGCAGGTGGCAGCGCTTTTTTGAGATGCGCTGCTCTGATTGGTTGTGGTACCACTGGGTCTAAATTGTACTCTCTGATCACTTCGTCCCGGATTTCTTTGGGTAGTTCTTTGAGAGTGTCAAGACACACGTCTTCTTTCCGTATTTGCACCTACAGTATTACCAATTACAACTATCACGTGATCAGAAATGACTGAGTCTATTGGTAATCCTGGATTTTCCTATCATTTCCGGTTGTCAGCTGTCATGTCACGATTGACACAT